GGGGGGCTGTGCCGGGATGGGGTTTTCACGGGGTTTTCCCTGCCCCAAGCAGGGTCGGGGTGCTGCTTGGTGTGGGCACGGCGTGGGAGCAGTGCTGCCCCACGGGAAAGTGGAGCCCCAGATGGCTCTGTGCTGCAGCATCCCTCCCGTGGGGACCACAGCAGCACACGTGGAAGGCTCCTGACTGTGGCTGACAGAGGCTCTCAGATCATAGTCAGAGAAGGGCATTTCATGCCTTCATTCATTATCTTCTGCTTTCAAATCCCCCTCCTTATTTAGGCTGTGTCTGTGCTGGCATCCCAGATGGATGGCAGCTCTTCCTGGGTAACTTGGCAAAAGCAAGCATATCCTAAGCAGCCCAGCATGAGGCTGACAAACACGGGTATCAACGAGTGCTTCTATTTCTGGCTGCGTTACTATGCTCTGAGAGCTTCTCTTTGTGTGCTTCCTTGGTCTTCAGCTTGCAAGTGCTGGCAGGGTACCAGCCCCTGAGGGCTGTCAAGGTGCCCACCAAGCTGAAGTTTCTCCCCCCTCCCCAGGAATTTCCCCAGTCTGTAGGAAAGGGTCTGAGGGGAAGGGTTGCCCAAGCCAGTTTTAATGAAAGCCCATCTTCGCCCTTCACCAGTGCCACGGGGCAGAGTAAGCCTCTGAGATAAACTCAGGGTGGATGGTGTAGCTGCCTCTCTGGACTCCTCCTGTCTTCTTGAAGTGGCTCATGTCCCACCTAGGAGGGCAGATAAAGTAGTCAGCCATGGGAGGATGAAAATCCAGTGAGGAAGAAGAGCAGTTAACCTGCTTGTGGCTTCCAGCACTGCTTAGGGGGCAAGCAGTGGACATGCAGCTGCCCCCATCCGCTTTGGTGTGTGTCTTTGGGCACTGAGGCCAAAGCAAAGCCTGGGCAGAAGAGCTGAAGCTCCCTGGCATTGCCATCTCAGTGAGCTGCTTCCAGTGGGTCTCCCACCCTGCAAACACCCACTCTCTCTTGCACTGTCATTTTCCTAAAATCTTCATTCCCAGAGCCATGCCGGTCCAGGAAAATCTTCCTGTTTCTTAGTGGTAGAAGGCCTTGAGAAACATCTCTCCAAGGCTCAGGCACAGGGACATCTATGGGGAACTCAGTGCTCCCTGTTTGTTCTCATCATATTTGGTTTTAGTTTCTAGGCCTCAGGAATTTAAAGCCAATCACAAGTTTTCTGCAAAGCCTGACACCTAATTTTGCCCCTTGGGGGGGTTGATGCAGTAGCAGAGTGATGACTAAGCTGGTTGAACAGCCTCCCCTCTCCCCCCACTCCTTCTGCTGGGCTGAACAAAGCTACCTCAGCAGTGGAGATATCCTAAAGGTAAACATGTGGGGATTAAAAAGGTGCTGCTGGACCTGCAGTGGGTGAAGGACAGGCCCGATTATCACGTAACAAGCAACGTGACCTGGGAACAGGTTCTTGAGTAAGAAGAGCAAACAATGACAACAGAAAATGCAAGAGCAGCCCAAGAAACACTGATGTGGCCCCCAAATCTGGGAGATGCTAAGCTACATGCAGCA